TCATCATATTTATCTGGAAACAAATATTCAACAATTATATAGTTGATGATCATGACAGTGGCTCATGGAGTGGCAACACTCAACAGAATAGGTACCTACCTAGCTAGCTGAGTAGTGAGTAGGACTGGGTTCGGAGTTCGGACCGTTCGGTATAGATAGCAAGTAATAGATCTAACCACAAGAACCACTGAACCAGGTTGCAGACTTACAGTTTCAGACTCGAGTTTATGTAGTATTTAACTAATTAACGATATCTGTTAGTGTTAGGCTGCTACTCAGAGTAAGATGTGTTGTTTGTCTATACGTCTATTGAGTAATTCGAGTTTCATAGTGGCAAACCAGAGCTTTTTTAGAATCAGTTCATTTTTAATTTCATTGTTTGCTCAAGATTTTAACCAATTACTTAAGTATGATAATGCTGGTATCCATGATACTTTACTGGTCTACTAATAGGACTCAAAAATGAACTTGAGGGAGAGTCTAAAAAACTCTCTGCTTTGCCACTATGCTTTACTTGTCTACTTATAGGACTCAAAAATGAACTTGAGGGAGAGTCTAAATAACTCTCTGCTTTGTCACTATGCTCTGCTTTGCCACTATGGACTATACAGACTCTGTACCTACCAATTACCTATACTGTCGAGTCTAGTCTCTACTCGTTTTGGTCCCACCGTACCTACAACTTACAAGATTTCTTCAACAATGGTCATTGTAATAACTGTTCAGGAAATTGGATCTAATAGGCCTTATATTCTTATAACATATATATCAATTCCAACTGTTTTCAAGTTTCAACTAACAACAATTCAATAACTTTTCGATCTTTTTCCCACCAACGGCACGATGGCGCCATCTTTTCTACGCTGTTGCCAATCACATGGTACATTTTTTAAATGCTCGTTGAACGAAGGAAATACCACTAGTTTTGGAATTTTCCGTGAAGATGGAAAAGACGCTAAATTGCATGATAAATTTTACAAGACGTTCTGTATTTGAATACGGAGCTCATAGAACCATAGAAAGCTGTAACATTCTTCAGTTGCGTTACGATCATCGAAAAGTAAGTTGTATCTCCAGGAATAGTATTCAAAAAAATTATTAACAATATTTGCAACAGATACCATGGATCTGCTCATCTCACTCCTGACCAGATGGTTTTTGATGATGTGGGGTATGCCTTTTTCCTACAAATGCGGAGCTTTGTGATGACAAAAATGCTGTAATTAGTAAAAGTGCTCATATAACTTTATTCTCAGCTCCTGGCTCATATAAAAAAAAATTAGCTGAGACATCCCACCTTACCTCTCGGACAAAAACGCGGTCTGTCTCACGGCCGTACCTCAAGAAATTCATGGTACATGGAATATCTTCCAAACTACTGAACCGATTTCAATGAAACTTAGTATATAGATTCCTGACCGCCTAAAGGTGATGTATATAAAAACAAAATGTCCGAGAGGTTCCCAATTTTTACGTAACTTTTTTTGCTCTTTTGCCGTATATGTCGTAAGCGCAGGCGAAAGTGAACATATTTTCACGACCTGAACATCCCCGTTCCCTAAGAACGAATTTATGTGCCAAATTTCATCAATCTGTGTTCATTTGTTTGAGAATAAATTAGGGTGACTATGTAGTGTAAAATCTTTGAGACTGGCCGGAAAATTGTTCGTAACCGTCGAGTTTCGTCAATTGTGTTCAACGAAGAGGAAGTTTCAATTTAAGGAAGGTCACCCAGATCGAATGCGGCGTTTGTTAAGGAGAAAACGGACTAAGACGAAATAATATAGCTAAATAACCGTCTTGAATTTTTAGCGCTGAAACAGTTAAAATTGTAAAAAAATATATTGGTTTACTAAATGGGGTTCTATATGTGTCTGTGGGGAGGAGGGGCGCTAGTGATTCACTGGGTAGCCAAAGGGGGCGCCAGCCTGAAAGAGTTTGGGAACCACTGGTTTAGCACTACTGAAATAAAATTTCGTTATCAGGTGTTATTCCGACGCGGTAGGTATTAGGGATACGGACTCAAAAAAACTCTACTTGAACTTGCAGCGACAAGCCAAACAAGGGAAATTTTCCGAGCGGCAATAATTAATGAAATTAAATTGCTTCAATCCTGTGTCATAGCTACCGTCCTTCAGGCAAATGAATCCAAAATTTCCAACAGCGAAAAGATTGTAAGATTCATCTCAGTATAGCACCCATCTCACCTGTATAGCACCCATAGCGATCAGTCGGAGGATGATCTGGTAGTATGTGGGGCTGGTATTGTACGTTATACAGGGTCCGCCATATTTATGGCAACGCACGTTTTTAGCGCATTTTCTCATTCATGGCAAAAATGCGCTATTGTGCTCGCCATGTCCGTCTGTCCGTGACCTCAAGTTTTCGTCGACGAGAAAATGCGCTCTTATATTTATTCATTATGACCTCCATTTTTTTATGACGGCCTCCAATCTACGCGGGAAAGCTTCACAGGAGACACACAGCATTTATTGAGGGATCAAGTCCCATTCTCGTGTCAATTTAGACTTTAAACTATCCAAATAATCATGAGGTGTTCTGCTGACCCTACTCTCTAAAATAGCCTACACAGAAAAGTCGAGAGGATTCAAATCAGGGCTTTTTGAGGGCCATTCATTTTTGCTAATGAACGCTGGGATGTGACCCTGAATTCAGTTTTGGGTCATGTTTGAGCCATGTGATGGGGCAGAGTCTTGAAGAAAACTCCATGGTGAGCCGTTAAGTGTTTACGGGCCCAAGGTAACAACACACCTTCCAAAATGTCCAAATATATCGCTGACTGTTCAATTTCACTCCTGAGGGGACAAAAACAAATTCGCCTCCCAGTGGCGGTTACCGCGGCCCAAACCATCACGGACATGGGATTTTGACGTCGTGTTGCTGTTCGTTGCCACAGATCCATCCCGACTCCAAACTCTGTCATTTTGACGGTTAACGCTTTGTTCAATGTCAAAATTTTTCTAGTCACAGAACACCAAGTTGGGCAGCGTGCCATCCTCAATGAGATCCAGAACCTGCTGACATCTTTCGAGCCTCATTCGTTCATGACGGTCTGTTAGTTCATGCCTTGTTTGCATCTTGTAAGGGCAGGTTTTGTGGTCATCTTTGAGGACTCTACGCATTGATGTCTGACTGACTCCTGCTTCTGCAGCTGAGCGACGAGGGTTTCTCCTCTACTTCTCCCTCGTGTTTTTGACCAATTGTTTTGTTCGGACACTTCGTTTCCTTCCTTGACCAGGTCGATTGCATGTTTCACCAGTCTCCTTGAAATTTTTTACCACCTTCCACATAGTCTCACGACGAATTTGGAGCTTTTCAGCAATGACTGAATTACGCTCGCCCTTTTCATGAAGGGTTACAATTGCATTTGAGCATTTCTATCTACTGCCATAAGTAATAGTAAATTTAGACACCTTAGACTTATGCAATATAAAATAGATGAATTAATAGATGATATCAAGCTTCATTATAAAAGAAAAGTCTCCTAGAAACCAATTTATTTTATATAGCAAATATCCGCTGCCATAAATATGGCGGATCCTGTACTCCTTGGCTTCGCCCTTCAAAATTGTCTTACTGATAGTAGTGGGCCACTAGTGGCTGTATCAAAAGTGCAGACGTTGAAAAGTCGGCAACGTTGTATGCCTTATTCATTCATCTACGCCCTTCTTGGAATGTTCTTATACTTAGAATTAGGATTATTACTTTGTGTGCTGAACATCGAGTCGGTGGTGCTGTTAGGGGACTAAGGGCTGCTTATTAGTCAGCTGGTGATGAGTTACTTGAACAGTCTTGCAAGTTGCATGCCAGTATGATGAAGGAAATTTGCGGGTACATACCGTCAACCATGGTTGCCATCAAGAAGCGCAACTGTGAATTACAATGCCGTTTCAAGGTAGCTTAGTAACAGAGATTAAAAGTACATCGGAGTGAAATTTCTTCAATTGACTTCAAAGCGAACACTTCCATCCAGTGCCTATTAAGATCGGCAATTAGTGTAGCAGAAGAAATAAAAGCCGATCCGATTCCGAATAATTCGATTCATATAGGAAATAAAAATATTGCGGTATCGGGAGCTGATGATCCTTCTAGAGATGATTCATCATCGATAAAAATAAATCGACTGCCGAAGGAATTCTTATATGGAAAATGAGGCAAATATTGATATGGTCATATGACCTAATAAACAATTAACAGATGATTCGTCTAGAAGGAAAGCGTGACACTGAAATGACGTGTCGTCGAATCTTCTAAAATTTTCTGAGTGACCTTAACTCACGAGGACTGTAACAAAGACAGCAGACAGGAGAGAGACTACGAACACCCCCAGATACCAAACATGGATCGCTACCAACATCTCTAAAGCTTACTGTAATCTACCAAGCCTAAGCGACATCGACGTTGTCTGCTAGCTGGAGTTCTACCATACGACAATGAGCCCATCTTTGTCTTATATCTGGCAAACCATGACGGCCGATGCGTAAAGTATTCGTGCTGCTCTCATGTTCAAGGGCGTTTGCTAGAATCGTGCTTATCCTGACGCTGTGGCACTCGGTGGACGAGGACCGTTTTTGGGTGATGCATCTACGCTCAGTTTGACGGCATCAGAATGAGGCAACAGATGGATAATGGTGAAAATGACTAGTAAAGCTCACCCATAGGAGGTTCATTTTGCGGGCAAGGTGAGTGTTAAGAAGGATCTTCAACGAGAAGGAAAATTCGGAGCAGTTAATCGTCAGCATTGAAGGATACCAGCACTTTCCTGAAGAAGAGCGATCGAAGTTAGGAAAATATCCTGTGTCGACGAGCGGCGATGAAGCGGAGGCCAAACTCGGCCTCACCATAAGCGTTGCTCAGAATACTCAGATATAAGGGCCTCTGAGCTCAAATAATTAATCGAAATCTTTTCTTGTCATTATTTCGATGAAAGGTTATTAATAGTCACCCAGACCATTCTTTAAAAGGTAAAAAAACAGGTGTTGAATAAAATTTAGTTCAAAAGACAGTACAGATCTTTGTCGAGCTGTAAACTCACAAGCCATTTCCCGCACGATTCTTTCATTTAGAATCAAAATGTATTCAAAACTTATGCTCAAATGTGTGTAAATCTTTCAAACAATTAATCATTTCTGTCAGTACCTAACTTTGACAACGAATAGCAACCATAATGACAAGGGTCAGATTATAAAAAGCATAGATCAATAAAAAATTACTCTGCAATATATGCAAACTAAAGGTGTGATCAATTTCAGGCAACAACAGTGCTATGAGAAAAATGAACCACCAAGCAATGTGGGAAAATACTTGAATGGCAGAGAAGAAAATTCAACAACTTACCTAATCAATAGACTATTTACCATTAAATTCTATCATTCTAACTTCATGTCCAGCAATAACAATTTCTTAACTTATAACTGATATTTGAATGAAGAAGTAGCATCACCGCAAGAAGAGCCCTTGTTGAATGACACCCAGCGTTAAAGGTTCTTTTTCTTCGGTGATGTAAGGATGTACGAGAGCGTGACGAGCGGTGATTCGTTGCTTGGGATCATAAGTCAACATTTTCTATGAACAAAAAGTAGTAATTAATATATTTAAGGGGGCGGGGCAGCGACGCTCACGATACCCAACAGGGATTTAAATTAACATTTATGTATGGTACTTTACTGTGAGTCATCAACAACCAAGAAAAAGTTATTAAATATAGAATCAACTATGGCTGCTTTCTTTCAAAACATTATGATTTTTAAATAGAATTTTTCTCTGCCATCAGTCTTTTTATTGCTCTCATGTTACAAAGCCTGCTTTCTCACCTCAAGCAAATTTTGGCCACTGAGTTCAAGCTTCTTGGTTAAAGAAGCAATGGCTTTATGTCTGTCCACTTGCCACTTAGGGAAGCTGCTCTTGTAGTCAGTCAAGTCGGTGACACCTGGCCAGTCTAAACGTGTTGGAGTGCCCAGAGTTCGGAATATTCTGAACAGTTGGTCAATTTCAGAGTCACCGGGGAATAGGGGCTTGCACGTCATCTGGACAAATTTGAAACTTGATGGAGTGAATTCATTTTTTCAGAGTTATTTTTTACACCAGATATTTCTTACATCATAGCAAATTTGAATGTGTATTTCGAAGTTATTCGGAAGTAATTATACAACACAATTATGCATCTCAAGTTGTAAAAAAACAAAGGCATGAAATTTAAAGCATTTGTTTACAAGACTAAAGAAGATGAATTCAAAGAGAAATAATTTTGTTATGTCTGGAAGCAGTGTTATGCTTCTAAAGATGCCATAGCATACCATTTCTGCAAAGATGCACCCTAAACTCCACAAGTCAACAGCAGTGCAGTATGTCCTTGTGCCTAGTAAGATTTCAGGAGCTCTGTACCAGAGTGTGATGACTTCATGCGTGTATGCCCTCACAGGGACACTAAAGGCACGCGCCAAACCAAAATCTGCCAGCTTGATAGAACCTGGAAATGTAAAATATTGGTATAAAAATACAGCCCTTGGCATCAACAGAAAAATTTCAAGAACAAGAATTGACATAACAAATAACATTTGCTGAATTGATAATGAATGAATATTTATCAATGCAGTTATTAGAAGGGAGAGAGTAAAGAATTCTGCCTTACCATCATAAATACCTACATTCAACATGGTTAGGTAAAACCATATTCCTTTTTAGAGTAGGAAATTTTTTTTATATATAGATAAACTTTTCAGAGGTTTCTGACATAAGTTTTGGCCAGAAAGAAAGATATGTCAAGAATGTATTTTCAACAAGATGAATTCATAATTAAATTCAGGTAAACTCACCATAAGAGATAGAAGGCTGTAATAACATAACAAAGCTGGTTCAAATTATTTATTGAGTGAATTTTCTTCTAGCATAAATGTTTTTTCTGAACCAATTACCAGAAAAAAACCTAAAAGTTCAGCAATGCCTCACCTTTGTTATCAATGAGCAAATTTTGGGGCTTCAAATCTCGATGTAAGATTCTCTTTATATGACAGTAGTTCATTCCATTCAAGAGTTGCTTCATGTACTGCCGAATGAGAGGAAGAGGGAGACCAATCAAGTTCCGACTTCTGTACTCGTCAAACAATTTTTTGAGGTCCTGTGAGAAATTTTCTTAATTAAAAAAGATACATATGGGAACTACAGAGATTCCCTCTGTTGAGAGATGTCAAACTACCATACACAGATCCCTATCCCAAATAAGAAACATGGGACAGATGTTCAAAACATCATGCCAGAATAATGGACAGCTATTTAATCAAGAACTTTAATTCAAGTTGAATGGCACTGTCAAGACTAACCTTGTCAAGGTATTCGAACACCAAGTAGAGCTTCATGTCGGCCACCACAACATCATAGAGCTCCACAATGCTGCTGTGCGCAAGCTCCCGCAGTAGAGAAATTTCTCGTAGCGCAGTGCTAGGAATTCCTTCATTTTCACTGAAAAGTAGAAATTGGACATATGTAAATAAGTTGCAGCAAGATCAAAATATGAAATTAATTCAAACATGGTGCAATCAATTAAAACCTAATGCAATTAACTCATAGGTAATGCATTAAACATGATCAATTCCAGTATGACCATGACACAGTAATTCATGAGGCACTATTTTGTGAATAATTCATGAATTTTACAGCTCAATCTTTGTTGCATGAAAAAAAAGAAGATAAGAGTACAATTTTTTCAAACAATCCAAGATGTAAAAATATTCAATAAGACAGTTACAGATAGACTATGACAAAAAAAATGATACCTATATCTATGATTTATATCTTTGTTACAGTTTTCTGAGAATCCTCATCTGAAATGTCAAGCAAATTTATTTTGCAATATTGCTTGGTAATTAGAAGCAACTAGCAAAGCAATCCCAAAACTTATAATGCAAATAGTATGTACACATTAACTCACTTATTTTTTTTTATTTGTAGGTTGGCAGCAATTACATTAAAAGTTATACAAAATGGATTGGTCTTTTTTAGAAGACAGCACTAAAGCCAAAAAAAAAAAAAAAATATCGCTGTCTTCATTGAAAAAAAGTAGATTATAAGTAAAACTAACAACATGACTTCTCTTCATAATTTAAATGTTGTTCTATGATTGACAGTATCGATAACTACATCCGTGAATTTAAAAACATAATAAAAATGAATAAATCAAGGCTAAGGCAGTTGGTGAATTTAATTTTTTATGATAAAATTGAGATCCTACCTAAGAAGGTCCTAAAATGAAGCAGTTTACGGATGGTAATTGGTTGAAGCAACAGATGAAGCAATATCCAAACCAAAAAAACAAAAAAGACAAATGTAGTAATTGGCCAAAGCCAATATATGAAGGATTGTTCACATGTGTGGGGCAAAGAAAAATGAACTTCTGAAGAATACATTACTACTGTCATGGAAGGAACTGTTGAAGTTGCACCAAAGCAAGTGCTTGCTACTTACACTGGCAATGCAACCTGCATGAAAAGAAGCATAGAATAGCATCAAGCATGACTTTTCTAGCCTACATCAAGTCTGGCAGCTATTATTGGAATTTGGGATGTGTTGCCTTTATGTTCAAACAAGTACAGCAGTTTTCATCTCATTCATGAGCAGTTTTTGCCTAATTTTCAGTCAATATATTTCATGCCCATGATTGAAGTCAATTCCACCTGTTTTCATGGCAGCACAGCCATTGCTTGATTAATTTTAAACATAGTTCGTCCTTCCTCAATTGCAATATTACAAAATCTAATGGCCAATTTTTAACTCCTGTCTTCCAAAAGCAAACATTCACCGGTCTAAATACCATTTTTTTTTAAGTTTTTGTTCATTCCTGTTCAAGTTAAATGTGCTTCAAACATTATTATACAGAGGTTTTCGCATTTGCTCAACATACCAGGCTATGCATGCTGAATTTGAATGTTTACAAAATATTTTCTCGCTTAATGGGTTTCCAGCAAGTTTGGTGTATACCCAAATCAAGAAATTCATGTTGAAGCGATTCAGTGAGGTTGCTCCCAAGCATGATACTGGGAACATTATTTATTGTTCTTTTCCATACTTTGGCCCTGTGTCTGAAGCTACCGTCAACCGGGGCTACTCGGGACGGACGGGGTAACTCGGGACAGTCCTCCGACACGACTTAAAACTATTTTAGTAGCAAAACTAATTGGAATATTGCAAAACTAAATATAGTGGCGTAAACATCAACATTTTTCCTATCTATGTAGCATAAAGGAAGTTCAAAAGTACTACATTTACTAGCTTTGAAAAATTCCTGAAAAAAATGGTGAAAACGATGTTTTGAAAAGTTACTTCTGCTAAGGTCTGTAGTAAAAAAAAATATTTGCCATATTAATAAATTTTGCTTAGAAAAAAGTGGCAGACATGTCAGCATGAAAATTTGATTTGCGGAATTTACATGGTACCTCAATCCAAAAAAAAAAATGGCGGCCATTTCTGCACAGCGGGGCTACTCGGAACACACACCCGGGGCTATTCTTTGCTTTTTTGTGATATTAATTTTTGTTAACTATTCTTTGCTTTTAAATTTATAGTTAACTTGCGATTTAAGCAAATAAGTGACATCAATTCTTCAAACATATATGACATAAGAAAAATGCATAATTTTGCCTGCAACTTATGAAATTTTTATTCACAACATGAATTTTTATCTAAAATTGTTTTTTTTTAATTCTGTCTGACAGTACATATTCATATTGAGCAATTGATCTAAGTGGAAAATTAGGCAGAAACCACCCAATTCCACACTCAGGAAGATGTATATAAACGGTGAAATTTCCCACACATATATAGTTTTTTATATTTTCTTCGCGCACGCGTTCGTGCAAATCACGGTCATCGATTCCACGCAGCGCAGCACTCGGCGCGGGCCGTGGAGCCGTCTCTCAGGACCGACATAGTTCTGATTTTGACACAGTTTTCATCTAAATGGAATGGCAACATTGTCTGTAGATTTCAACTTTTCAAGTAACGCTGAACGATCTTCGACTTTGAGTGTGATGTGTCCCTCTGAAGCTATTCTCATTTTTATTAATGTTTGTCGTTCGCCTCTATAATCAACCTTCATCGTTATGATCATTGCAATAAAAATGAAAATTTATAATTAAGATAGATTTCTTCCGGTGCCTGTGTTTTTTATGCAATTAGCACTTATTAGTGAATAAATGATTTGAGATGTGGTTCTTTAATCTTGACTTCTGCAGTTCACACAATCCCAGCCATCAATTCTACGCCACACAAGAGCAGTTTGTGGAGGAACAGATGCAATACTCAGTACAGTATGCCTTTAATTATCCTTCAATCATATATGATTTTTCTTGATACGGAAATTTGGTTAATGAGAAATCAAGAACTTTATTGTGGAAGAAATTATCTCCAAAATCATATGGCAACACTGAACACCGTATTTTTACATTTTGTATGTTTTAATAGCCGCAGTTTACTATTACAGTATGTTCCATATTCGACAAGCGGAAGAGTCAGAAGTAACCCGGAGTCCCGGACATTTCTTAGATTTTATAATTGTTAGTTCGACTCGCGTAGTTGATATAAACTTTGATGACCAACGAAATATAACATTTTAATAGGGAAACTTCATGCTTATTTAACTTTATTATACTACAAGTAATGATCTTTATTTAATTATAGCCATGTTGAAATTATTCATGTCCAATTGAATTGTGATCTATGAATGAATATTCATTACTGTGCTGACTCTTAGAACCTGAGTCCTGAGTTGACGCGTTAGCAATCTAGGCAGCTCATATCCAACCACAACACAATGCGGATACACGTTTGTGTGTACGGTCAGTGTGATTACGTAATTTGCATTGCCACACGTCCATATTTAAACTATTTTAGCTTTCTAAAAGTACGGCGCACGGCGCATTTTTTTACCGGCATAGTACGGTGCACCGCGCAGGTCGTTAAATTTAAAATGACAATATAAATTCCCGCACACCTGGCACATCTTCCTCGCCATGGCCACCCATCATTGATGGGCCATCAATCATATAAAAATGACAAAAAACTAAATATAAAAAATGATATACAAAAATGGCATATTTTCACCAGCAATTTTGAAAATTACCTATTAAACAATAATTTTTATACAGAATTTTGTGAAACTCCTGTCTGATATTCTTGATGGGCAATTGACCAATTTATTTATTAAAAATTAGTAAACAAAGCTGGTTTTTGCCTAGTAAGGCGGCTAAGGCCTATTTAAAAAATCACCTAATGATGAAATAATGTTTCAGTCACAATTTTAACAGAGATTTTAATAATATTACAGATTGGTCCACTTTTTAATGTTAACAGTCCTATGAAAAAATTGATTTAAAAACATTCACAAATTAGTATTAGGCTAACTTTCAAAATTTCAAATATACTGCTATTTTACTGCATACCTAAGTAACCTAACTTTACTTTATTTACTTACAAGCTAGCCTAGGTAGGCCTATACAGTACAGCTACACAGTCAACACTGCTACAGGTTTAGTCGGGTTAAATTAGGTATTTGTTCCCTGTACTAGCTAGGGTAAACGCGGTATATTCCGACATGCATTAGTTCGACGTGCAAATGTATGACGTCACCACTTCAACTATCAACGAACGCATGGAACTAACAGAAAGCTTAATATAAAGGAAAAACTAGAGAGGTGACGTAATTACCCACGATGTCGGAATATACCGCGTTTACCCTATATATATATAAAAAAATGCATATTTTTGCCTGCAACTTATGAAATTTTTATTCACAACATGAATTTTTATCTGCAATTTTTTTTAATTCTGTCTGACAGTATATATTGAGCAATTTACCTAAAAGGAAAATTAGGCAGAAACCACCCATCAATCATACCTATAAAAATGACTGTGCATCTGTCCAATTCCAAATATTCCTATGGCCATTTCTAAGTTTTTTTTCAGTGAAAAATATGAAAAATGGCCTATTTTCACTAGCAATTTTGAAAATTACCTATGAAACGGTAGTTTTTATCCAGAATTTTGTGAAACTCCTGCCTGATACCTATTCTTAATAGGCAATTGACTAATTTATTTATTAAAAATTAGTAAACAAAGCTGGTTTTTGCCTANACAGAAATTTTAATAATATTCCAGAATCCAGATTGGTCCAGTTTTTAATGTTAACAATCCTATAAAAATATAGATTTAAAAACATTCACAAATTAGTATTACTGTATTACATTTCAAAATTTCACATATACTGCTATTTTACAGCATAACTTTACTTAGCCTACAAGTTACAGTACAGCTACAGGTTTAATTATTTGTCCCCTGGAATTTAAACCTGCTATTAAAATTTTCTATGAGGCTAATGACATGTAATTGAATTAGAATGTTGTTGCATTGTTAAAAGCAATTCATATGTTCTGTCACTTTGTTAGTTTTCTAATGGGTTGGCAAATTGGCATATTTGAACTTTTGAGTTTTGAAGATATTACTATTATTATTATTATAGGTAGGCTAGTATTATTTGATTAAACATTAAGTTTTTCTGAGAACTGCAGTGAAAGCAAAATTAAAATGAAAGGTGATCAAAATTTGTACAGCAAAAGTGAATGTTTGGGACTTTAAATTTATATACTCACTTGTCTAAGCGTATTTTTTTAAGCGCAACTGTTTTGTCAACATTCATGTCAAATGCTTTGTAAACAACTCCGTATGTTCCCTCTCCAATTTTTTCTATTTTCTGATAATTTTCCATTCCCTTAAGTGTCGACATTATGAAGAGGAAAGTATCACACAGACACACACACCACAGAATTGAAGTTATAAAGTTAGTCTGATTACTCTGATTGTTCTTGTAGAAAACAACACCTAGACTTAGTAAGACCATAAAGCATCAGCTGTGTCACAAACTGACAATCACAATGCAGATGCAAAATCTTTCATATAGTGCGCGGTCAGTTTTTCAGTGTTAGAAAAAACTTTTACCCCAAAATTCTAGTCACGGTGATTGGCGCCTAAATTATTTTCTTCTATTAAAGCACCGCTACATGTCCAATAATAATGGGTAATATTTGGTTAAAGCCTTTAATTTATCACCTGTAAGCCACAAGGGACCGGGCAAGGTCTTTGAAAGTGAGACTTTACAGCTCGAACAACTCTACGAGTCCACTGAACCGAGCTAGAACCATACTACTTTAGATCTAAAGGCTTCTATTAATTAAATTGATGCTCTCTCTAGCATCAATTCTTCAAATACCTTATCCGCTCAGCTGCCTCATTTTAACACCAGTGATGAGCAAAAGGCGTATGCCTGATTTTAACCAATTTTTTTAAATGTAACCGTAAATGTAAAAGCTTAGCCCATTCCACGATTAACCAACAACACATCATTTTATGCAGGAGCGTATTAGGTACTATATAAAGTTCCTCATTACACATGGAACTCAACCGTGATACTTAAATATCACAAGCATAAGGAATACTCCAACTGATAATTATAAGCTCGAATATGAATATAAATCTTTTTCTTTCCGTCGTGTTATGTTCGACGCCATGATTCAATTAATAAAGATAATTAATAAAGATACGAAGTTTCACATACCGAATATACAGCAGGCAAAATTAAGCGATTCATTTTCAAATTAGAGAAAGAATTTCCATTACATTGGATAAAAGATACGGAAATAAATTCGGACTTCATTGATCCAGTTGTCTCTTGATAAGCGTGGATATTAAGGACAATTTGAACCGTAGAATATAGTATATTCAGTATAAAAATTTGTACATTAAATTTAAGTGAAACTTAAGCATTAAAGACCATCAGAAATTGAAGGGAGAGTTCGTTAATGCCGTAACAGCAAGTAAAATAGGCGGATTGTAAAATGGAAGGTTAGGCATCAACAACATAATTTGGATGCACAACGAGCATCGGATCTTCTGTCTCGTCCGTGGCGGCACTCGACTGTTTCAGGCCACTTCGGGTCAGGGGAATGATCACTTGATCCTGAAAAATACGTCAGATATCCTAAATGACGGTAGCTGACAACTCACGCATGACACATAGAATATAGTTGAATCAAAAGGAAGTGGAATATAGTTTCCACTATATAGTTCCATATATCGTGGAAATCAAAAGGAAGTTTTTATCAATGTTATTATGTAAACATTCTCCTGCCATGATTTTGAATGACGGGTTTACAAAAATCCAATCTTGATATGCCGGACGAAGGAGCAAGATTAATGAAAAATATCACAGTTAAATATAACAAATTAATATTAATTGACAAACATTAGTATGATGTGATTTAGCAACAATTACGATATAAATCTTAGGTTTTCCTTAATACTCACGTGATAAGTGAGACGGTCAAGGACCCTCTCAACCATCATCTTCTTCTCAATGAGTTCAGCTTCAGAGTCAATATCGTTGGCCACCTCCTCGAGGTACCAGTTGATGAGAGCAGATCTCTTCAGACCAGAAATTGAGTCCCTCGAATCCGGAGACTCCTCGAGCTTGGCTTCCTCTTGCCTCATATGGATAATGAGCACGTTGCTCAGATTGCGATAATCTTCGTAGGAAAGCTTAAGCTTTTTCTTAGCAGCCGCTCCTCCAGTCTTCTCAGTGGCATCAGAATGGACAGCTGTTTCTGCAAGACATGTCACGAATGTAGTTAGAACTGAAATTTTTAGGTTAAAACAAAATAATATAATAGCTATTAACAAGAAACTTAACCAAAGTATAAATAGGTACAACAAAAATTCTTCTTCCATGCATTGAGTTGAATAATTTTGCTACAAATATCATTATATTATTTATTTTTATAAATCATATTTATAAAGAACATTGAGGCAGTCTTCACCTGCAGCCAATTGCCCATTGGGAACGGTATTCTCATCAGGAGCATCGACATCCATTTGGTCATCAATGCCTTCATCCTCCTCTAGGTGGACGTCAGGCTGCTCCACGCGGATGATGGACTTGTTGAGTAGACGATACGCTTCCTTCACGTGCTTCGGTTGCACCTGAGACCACAACACCGGTTACCGGTCATAAATTATTATAAGTAATTCCAACCACAGCGATCTATCAGTCCAGCAAGATAATCTAATCACAAAAAATCGTCCACCATCTTTAGCGAATGCGCGTGGAGCATTTATTTTCAAAAGAATGGGAAGAAACAAAAACCAAACGGTGATTAAACTGACCTCGTCAGAGCAGTTCATACGGGCCATAGCCTCAGCAAGACGAATCATACTCTCGAGCTGCCGCACTGTGATGCGCCACGAGCTGTAGCTGGATCCAGTGGCGTCGCGCTGCCTAAGGCATTTGTATTGTTCCACGAGATACTCCCCAGCTTCCTGTTATGCACGAGATACAGCAATATTCAGTCCTAGCATACAACTTAGAAACTTTTGTTACGATTAACTGATGAGAAATCATGATATCTCAAAACTTCAAATTGTTCTGGTCTGAGAAATTGAGCCCAATACCCAGAGATTTTTTTCTCAAACACCGATAAATTGAAAATTACTTAAAATCTTACATAAAAAAATCAGCGATAGCTAATTTGGATGCACCAATGGCAAGAAATGGAACAGTACCTTGTTTAGCTTGGGCTTGAACTGGCGAGCGAACATGATGTAGCGCTGGATCTCCTCCAAGGAGTACACGCGCTCGACGTATTCTTCCACATGGCTGTGAAGATCAACAATTCGTCGCGCGATGGCGTAGTCAGTAACCTGAAGCACATAAATGCAAGTGAGCACATTACAAGGAGTAGATTCTATGCTTGACAGTATCAATAACTACATCCGTGAATTCAAAATCATAATAAAAATGAATAAATTAAGGCTAAGGCAGTTGGTGAATTGAATTTTTTTAGGGAAAAATTGGGATCCTACCTAAGAAGGTCCTAAAATGAAGCACTTTAAGGATGGTAATTGGTTAAAGCAACAGATGAAGCAATTAAGACTCCTGCGTCTTGAAATAATTTTCTCGAAATGAACCGGGACAGACGAAACAAGACGAGAAAATTCCGGGAAAAAATAACGGGACAGAGTGTAAAATTTGTCCTGGAATAAACGTATGAACCGAGACAAAACTTCTGTCCTGGACTTTAAAACTCGTGTCCCAGTAAATTGTGAACCGGGACGAGACAGACAGATTTGAAACGAGACATAACGAGACGAGATTTGTCTTAATTATTCAAGACCAAACAAGTTTTTTGATTACGATACGAATCATTTCGAAAACATGGGTTGAAGAATGACAAGTTAGCCCTTTATTGCTAATAGGGCCATAGACAGTTACCAGTTAAATTGAGTTAATTGCAGATTTAGCAAAATTTGTCTGACTAACTGACATAACATAACATAACATATTGATCTCGGCGCTTAAGTGTAGGCCTGATGTGGCCTGTCGCCGATTCGTTTCCTTTTCATGCCTTGTTCACAGAAGATCTAATATTGTTTCATTTGACCGGATATTTTCATGACTGACAATAGTTTCAAGTAGCTACCAGGTACTAGACTTCCACCGGGTTCGATATGGTGCTAGGCATTTCAAATCTGAACATATATTTTTCCATAGCTTTATCTAGTCTGTTCTTGAGCGCATTCATACTTGGAGCGCCAACGATGTCATTGGAGAGGCTGTTCCACATGTCGGTGATTCAAAGCAAGAGGAAATTTTGTTGCGTGGAGAAGTTGCAGCGCAGTTTTTTTAGTTTATAGCCGTTGCCCCTGGTGTTGGTTCTTGTTTCAAATTCATGGCAGTTAATTAGTGGTCCGACAAATACCGCAAACCTGTCGATGTATGCATGGCTAAGTATCGAGTCAAAAATGCTACTCTCAAGTCTTAACCAAGGCTTTGATGGCACTTATGGGAACCGTACAAATATGAGTCAAGTTTCTTACGCGTTCAGAACGAATTCAGGCGCCGTGGAGCGCATAGGGAGTGGAGACGCAGTGTCTAGATTAGTCGGCCAATTACGTAGTAGACAGTGTAGTGGAGTCCTGGTAAGATATTCCTAATAACACTAAAGCTAGTATAAGATTATCTCTGCCTTTAGTAAAATTTTGTGCTACGACACCAGGAAATCTTCACAATTGCGCAGTTTCCTGAATTGTTATCAAACACTTGGGCTTCTTTAACATTATTTAGAAAATGGATTATTCAGAAATTGATGGATTTGCACATGGATATTTCAAGTTCTTTTTTGAAGATCAAACTATTATATTTTTTCCAGCTAAAATTTTGTTGTATTTTAAAATGTTGTCGATATTTCTTTCCAAACTTGTTGTTTAAGGAGATAGCTTAAGGCAAGATCGATGAATCTGATTCTGTGGTTGAGCTAGGGGCAAATCCAAGTCTGTCCAGTCAGCCGATGTCACCAGCTACAGCTAGTGTAGCCTCCTCCAAACCATCATAGAACACAATTTAAAAAAATGTGTTTTTCCATTTTTATTTGCCTGTCAAGATTAAGTACCATATTAAACCACAACTTGTATTCGTAGCAAAAATCATTTCAATTGCCAAGCTCCAATCAGAATAGTAAAAGGATACATCTCAAGTTATTACGGTACCGTAAAATGGGGTTACTTTGACCGGCGGGGTAAATTCATTCTCATAATTATGGAAAGCATATTATTACAGCGAAACCCTTTTTCCCATAGACTTCACATAACGCAACAGCTGTTCATGCGGAACACTGTCAAATGCTTTGGCAAAATCAAGGTACACCGCATCCAATGGCTCCCATTCGCCCAGTTGGCAAATTCAATCGTTCGACGTAGACAGGAGGCTAGTGGCACAGGATCTACTGGCAATAGAGCCATGTTGACATTCTGATAGGAGATGGTTAAAAGTCAAGTAATCGATAATCCTTTCCCACACAACAGATTCCATTACCTTGGAAACAACACTTGTCAGACTCACAGGGCGATAGTTCATGAGGCTACTCTTGTCGCATTTTTTAAAACAATGGTGTCACTTGAGTTTCTCTCCAGTCGAGCAGCAAAGTCTCTTCGTGCAAGGTTTTTGGATGAACACTATCAAAGGTCAGGCCAGGACGGTTGCTAATTATTTGAGCTATCTTGGGTAAAAGCCTTCTGGTCCACATGACTTGTCGGGATTCAGAGCAACCAGGCACTGGAGAACCTCTTCTTCGTTTATTTCAGAACCTGTTAACTTCGAGCCGACTGGGCGCTCCTCAATAGCTGGAATAACGTTCGAGTCTTCATCTGGGAAAACGCTTCGTACTAAAGAACTGATTAAGAACGTTAGTCTTGCCTTCATCAGAGTATGTCTTTCGTTGATCTACTTTTAAATCAGAAAAACCCTCGTTTGTCTTGCATTTCGAACTATCGTACAAGTAAAGAAAAATATAAACGACTTTAGCTTGGGAATCAATTACATTGTAATTTTATGAGCGAGAACAACTTTGAGATTAAAACTACGATTGTTATTAGCCCGATGTACCATTCATTAGCCATAAAATTGTCTGCTGCTACAAGCTGAAATGTAAAGGGGTTTGTTGTTCCCACTCGTACTCACAGTACCGAATTATATAAAATCTGAACAAAAGACTCTCGTTGACATCATCGATTTTTTACTCGAAATGTGATTAAACTAAAATGGCTTGTCTTAGAAGGCTCATGGAATACTCTTTTTGGTCTGTCTAATCATGTCAGTCTGGCGAGGCTCGGACGACCCCAGTCGCTGGGATATCCTCTCAGTGATGGACTGGGGTGAGACCCAACTCACCCAAGATCGGGGCAGGGGTAGGACGCCGCCCTCAAGAAGGGAAGAGAGTCACCGCATCCTTGCGGCGACTCTTTTGTTGCTGCTGCCCTCAACAATGCGACGCCACAGAGAGCGATGTGTGGCTGGTGAACGGTGGCGCCCAATTTCGGGGGAGCTGCCCCCATCTCGCGCCTGCCGTGGCCATGGGAGAGTGAGGATGGTCGGTCCTCAGCTGGACGAAGGAGCAAGATTAATGAAAAATATCAGTTAAATATAACAAATTAATATTAATTGAAAAACATGTTAGTATGATGTGATTTAGCAACAATTACGATATAAATCTTAGTTTATCCTTAATACTCACGTGATAAGTGAGACGGTCAAGGACCCTCTCAACCATCATCTTCTTCTCAATGAGTTCAGCTTCAGAGTCAATATCGTTGGCCACCTCCTCGAGGTACCAGTTGATGAGAGCAGATCTCTTCAGACCAGAAATTGAGTCCCTCGAATCCGGAGACTCCTCGAGCTTGGCTTCCTCTTGCCTCATATGGATAATGAGCACGTTGCTCAGATTGCGATAATCTTCGTAGGAAAGCTTAAGCTTTTTCTTAGCAGCCGCTCCTCCAGTCTTCTCAGTGGCATCAGAATGGACAGCTGTTTCTGCAAGACATATCACGAATGTAGTTAGAACCGAAATTTTGAGGCTAAAAGAAAATAATATAATAGCTATTAACAAGAAACTTAACCAAAGTATAAATAGGTACAACAAAAATTCTTCTTCCATGCATTGAGTTGAATAATTTTGCTACAAATATCATTATATTATTTATTTTTATAAATCATATTTATAAAGAACATTGAGGCAGTCTTCACCTGCAGCCAATTGCCCATTGGGAACGGTATTCTCATCAGGAGCATCGACATCCATTTGGTCATCAATGCCTTCGTCCTCCTCTAGATGAACGTCAGGCTGCTCCACGCGGATGATGGACTTGTTGAGTAGACGATACGCTTCCTTCACGTGCTTCGGTTGCACCTGAGACCACAACACAGGTTACCGGTCATAAATTATTATAAGTAATTCCAACCACAGCGATCTATCAGTCCAGCAAGATAATCTAATCACAAAAAATCGTCCACCATCTTTAGCGAATGCGCGTGGAGCATTTATTTTCAAAAGAATGGGAAGAAACAAAAACCAAACGGTGATTAAACTGACCTCGTCAGAGCAGTTCATACGGGCCATAGCCTCAGCAAGACGAATCATACTCTCGAGCTGCCGCACTGTGATACGCCACGAGCTGTAGCTGGATCCAGTGGCGTCGCGCTGCCTTAGGCATTTGTATTGTTCCACGAGATACTCCCCAGCTTCCTGTTATGCACGAGATACAGCAATATTCAGTCCTAGCATACAACTTAGAAACTTTTGTTACGATTAACTGATGAGAAATCATATTATCTCAAAACTTCAAATTGTTCTGGTCTGAGAAATTGAGCCCAATACCCAGAGATTTTTTTCTCAAACACCGATAAATTGAAAATTACTTAAAATCTTACATAAAAAAATCAGCGATAGCTAATTTGGATGCACCAATGGCAAGAAATGGAACAGTACCTTGTTTAGCTTGGGCTTGAACTGGCGAGCGAACATGATGTAGCGCTGGATCTCCTCCAAGGAGTACACGCGCTCGACGTATTCTTCCACATGGCTGTGAAGATCAACAATTCGTCGCGCGATGGCGTAGTCAGTAACCTGCAGCACATAAATGCAAGTGAGCACATTACAAGGAGTAGATTAAAATTCAACCTGCAACACCTAAATTTATGTGAGCACATTACAAGAAATAGAATAAAATTCAACCTGCAGAACATACATCAAAGTGAACATAAATCTATGTGAAAACACTACAACGAACTAGTCACGAAGTATATCGTCGCTAGGCAAATTATCTAAAAAAAAAAGACCATTGAAATGTCGAATTTGTTCATTCACATTAAACTACACAAATTTAAGAACTTAAACAAAAAGGTAGTGCTTGCCTCGTTGCATTCATCGACCAGGATGAAGAAGAGGTCGAAGCGGGACATGATGGGCGGCGACAGAGCGATATTCTGGCGCAAGCTCTTGGTGCGATCGTAGCGCCCGCCGATGGGGTTAGCGGCGGCTAAAATTGATGTGCGGGCGTTGAGCGTGGCTTTAACACCTGCCTGTGGACAGAAGACATACACAAAATTATAAATAATGTTAAGTTTATGCTGGTACACGGGATGATGGAATCAAGTTTAAAACAATATGTAATGTCATGGAAATTTTACAGGTTAAAACTGCAAGTAACATACATAATTGGAGTAAGAAAGGCATTATTCATCAAAACATGTCAAATATTTAATCGAAATTAGTGAATAACTTGTAATTGATTGACACGATTAAAACCAATAATGAGCTGGGCATGAAACGACCATTGGTGTCAACTCCAAAAACCACAGCGTTTGTAGTATCAAAAATTACAAGATAATTATCAGCTCTTTGTAAAAAAAACTATCAAAACGATAGTTAAAAATTTCTGAAGAAAAAAAAACGGAGCAAACGCAATGCAAATTAATGTGAGTATTAAGATGATGGAAATGATGGTCAACTCACCTTGGTGATGGAAATGGTTTGCTGTTCCATTGCCTCGTGAATGGCGACTTGGTCCCTGAGATCCATCTTATCGAACTCATCGATGCAGCAGACGCCGTTATCAGCCAGCATCAGAGCTCCAGCTTCAATAACAAACTCGTGAGATTCTTCATCTTTAACAACAGCTGCCGTGAGACCGGCAGAGCTGGACGCTTTGCCTGAAGTGTACACAGCGCGAGGACTGAAATCTGCCACCTGTTGAGCGTGAGGAAAGGTGTGGGCACAAAAATTAATTGCTGCTAAATATGATGCAATGGGTCTAGTAGTTTTGAAATATATTGTTTTTATGCCTCGTAGAGTTATCATCTCAACTTGAGTTATAGAATTATTATCAACTAAATTGCAGAAAAAAAGAAACTTCATTGATGTGAATGCTAAGCCAGACAAAAAACTAAACAGAAGACATTTTTCTCTAGTATTAGGCGGTGGATTTTCCTGAATGAAGTTTCGATGTAATAAGAACTAAAAAGATTTCATAAAGTACTGCCATTTCAGTTCAAAGGAAAACGTGGCTACAGGAAAATATATCAGAGACATCACTATAACGAACCTGTTTGAGAAATTGTGACTTGGCGGTCGAGGGATCCCCCACAATACAAACGTTGATGTCACCCCTCAGAGAGGTTCCCTCATTCGTAGTCTTAGGCACGCCTCCAAACATCATCAGCAAAATGCCTGAACATAAACGATTCGGGAAATGAAACTTACAAACAGTAAATTGTCTAGGTGGCCAAAACAGATGACAACAAAACTAGAGTCCTTGATGCACAAAATAGTGGTGTAATTCACATATACATTTAAATCCTTTCTAACAATGCATATATTAAATTGAATTCAATACAAAAATTACCCAGTTCAAGAGAACGTTGCAAGAGATGCTGTGCAAATATATAATTAACGCATTTCTCAGCAATGAATTTTTTCCAGTAGTCTTTAAGAAATAAAGAAAAAACTTAGCACGAGATAACCCACCTCTCTTGACTTCATCATTGCCGTGAATGGTTGGGAAGAGGGACGTAATAAGGGACTGGTAGAGGTGCTTGTCGCGCGACATTTCATACACTTTGTTCCACTCCAAGTCGGTCATTTGCTGCTTAATGGTCTCAGCAGTGAGCTCCTCTCCACGTATTTCTTTACCTCCAAACTACACGAGTAAAACATAGGAAGGAAATTAAGCAACCCCATATATATTGAAACAATGTTTGTAATTATAATTAAGTTATCAAGTGCCTAGCAACAATAGAAATATAGCATAAAATATAAGTTTAATTAAATATAGAATTTCCATCTCAAGACAACCATGTTCAACAATAATAATAAACGAGAGGAAGAAAGAACATAACACACGAGTATAATTAACGAAAGGAACACATATCACTATAAGATAATTTACCTGCTTCAACAAAAATTATACAAATTATTTATTTGATGGTTAATTTAGTAATAAATGTAAGGCAAAATAATGCTGTACCTTAGGGTTGGTAGGTGTGATTGAGCAGGCAAGGAAGGCCATGCGGTAGTGCAAGTCACGTACACCAAGGGCCTTTAGACCCGTCACTCCTTCACTCTCATCTGGTGCCAAGCAATATTCATTACTATTAATTATTATTATATTAAAGAAATTCTTAATTCATGTCCAATTTCCATGCAGAAATTGCCGTATGACGAACATACCGTACCATATATAACTTTGTGTAATCCTAAAGATTTCCCTCGGTCAAGTTGAGATAACTACTATTTTATTTGCAATTATATACTTATGCTTTCCAAACCCAGTTCAAACAAAGTTAATTTATAAATGAAGCCTTATAAAGTTGCTCAGAAGAAAATCATTCAATACAATAAATAATAAATGGAATTATTCTTAAATAGATGTCAAAAATTGTGCAAAACTATGAAAAAGGCTGAAAATACATCTCAAAACGCGCTTAATCCGACTAGAATTGACTGAAAGGTAAGCAAATCAAATATTCTTATGACAATAGCAACTTGAATAACGAACCTCGTCCTCCAGCATGACGAGCGCTGCTTTCAGCTCGAGCTCCAGGCAAATTAATGGAAGCCACGTCAGGCACAACGATGAGCGTGCCGATGAAGTCGCAACGATCGCCAGCTTGTGCTCTCTCAACGGCCTCCGCCCGGACTATGACCTCCACACTGCAAAGAGTGACCAAAAAGGCAGGTTCGTGAAAAAAAATCTAGCAGAGTAAGTAGTAAAGTAGGGGGCAAAAAACAGTACAGGGGCAAAAAATCTACTAAACAGTTCAAGAAAATAATATGATGGGATGCCCATCAAAGCTTAACATCTGGACTTTCTTAGAGAAAGTAAAAATCCTTTCAAAGTTGAGTATTAGCGTTGACAAGTTATTCCAAGAAGATAATGGACGAGGTGCTCTAACATTTCTATTATTGAAGTTATTAATTCATAAAAAGAATACAAGAGGAATTACCTTCTTGGGATGCAGCCTCTAGGCAGCTCAGCCTGGACTTCTTGAATACGAACTTTCTGGAAGTCCACAAAACTGCTTTTATTTGTGTCCAGTAAGAAGCGGGCACGATTACTGCACACGGGGTTGCGGCAAATGCTGGGTTGGGTGTACTGTAAGTAAGGCAGTAATTACCTTGCTGATTGTGACTCAATTACATCGCTATTTCACATTGGTATTAAGCATTGTACGCATTCTTAGAACTTAGAACACACTTTCATGTTGTTCAAAGTATTTTTAAACAAATTGCAATAGAATGGTTTGGTTTCCAACAAAAAAAAAAGTTAGGTAGTTACCTTAAATTGTTGTTCCACGTCCCTGACGACCGTCTGGCAGTCAAGACACACAAAAGTACCCGACACAAGCTCTGGGTGCACAGGATGTGTCCGCACAACCTGAGAAATGCTGCACATTAGTAATCTTGCAAATTTATACTAATTAACATTGACACAATTTAATTTTTTTTAAAATCATTTAAAAAAATCAAAATCAGATGCCTAGTATGCAAAAGAAATGTGAAGTAAATCCACAATATCTCCATAAAAACGTTTTAGAGACAGGCTCCATCATTTGTTTTGGCGCCCAAAATGGTGAATGATATAGGTAGTGAATTCACTTGTTTACTTCCCTTTTGAATTTTTTGCGCACTTGCATTGCAAGCAGACTAATAACATCACGTGTGTGACCACAAGCTACAAAATAAAATGTAATTAATTACTCGACATCCCAAAACAATGATCAACAGCAAACTCACTTGACCAGATATTCTGACAAGCGTCCCAATTTTTTGTGTGGTGAGCTCTCGGATCTTGTGTCGAGTAGGCACTTCAACAAGGCTGAGGTAGTACTCCTTCTCAACAGCAATCTCGGCATGATCACGGACAAAGTTACGAACAGCACGGCACAAAAACTGATAAACCCTGAAACAAACAGTAAAAAGATAGAATCAAGAAATTGCTTTTTATTGCTCTTTATTTGTCAAAACAATGAAACCCTCACAATGAGGAGCAAATTTGATCTCGGGAGAGAAGGAAAATAAAAATTTATTGTATACAAACAATGATACTAAATTTTGCAATGCAATCACTCTATTATATACCTACATACAAATGCACTGATATCGTATTACCAGAGGCAGTCTTGCTAAAAATTTTTGAAGGAAAACACATTTTGTTTAACACTATAATCACCCAACACTTCTTTTAAAATAAAAAAAAAATGTCTGCCAGAAAATAATTCAGTTTTCTCAATTAACTCTGTCTACAAGTTTATATATACAAAAATGTACAGGAGCTGCACCAGCATAGTAAATAAAATGACAGTGATCTCCACAGTGATGTCTTCAAGAACCCACAGCATGAGTAACAATCCCTCTGTCACTTTTATAATTTATTGGAATACTCTTCCGAAGTTCCAAGTCAAAACTTGGTTTAGTTTTGGACATAGTTGAAACACTGACCAGGTTGACTAACCAGACACCATTAGCCAATGTAAATCAAACAATAACAAAGATGACCTACCCAATATTTTATGCTTACTCACAGAATATCACTCATCAATTGAAAATTATTTTCTCTTATTATGGAATTGATTGGCAACTATAATCATGGTTATTCCAAGTAGAATGGCTTTCATCTTACAGTGCAAGTGTGCAACTATTTTGATACAAAGCCACCAACAAAACAAGTGAATGTTACTATAAGCAATGAGGCAAGATCACTGGTAGGTATGTAACAAATTAACTCACCTGTAATATTCTTCGATGATAGTTGTGGCTAAGTTGTGATTGTGTTTTTCAATATCAGCAAAAGAGACTTCTAGCGTGTTCCTTTCCGGCTTGACAAGATCACGAGCCTCATCCAAGTATTTGATTTCACCCTCCTCCTGAAATCTGTAAAACAAGGTTTGTAAATTACCACAAAAATTATGAATATTGTAAATATTCAGATAATAATGACTCCACAAATAATTGATGACATCCTTAACTAATTACACATACATTGGTTACCTACAATTCAAGGCCAGATAGAATTACAGGTCTAATAAAATCATTCATTGCTATTTGTGTAGACAAAAAATTCAAAGTTTAGATTTAAATTATAAATGAATGTGTAGAGCAAGATGAAGTAAGGCTTTTAAACTCTAGGGGCTGGTTTCTTTCCAAATTTTCCATCAACCTCTTTAAACCTTCTTATAGGATCCAATTTATCATCAATCAGCCTTAAATTGCATACCTTTTCAAGTCAATGCTCTCTAATACCAATCATTTAATCAAGTTATTTAGAAAACTGTAATAGCTTACTCAAGCTAAACTTCAATGCCCTTATGCCCTTGAGTTAGCATAGCACATCTTGGGGTGCCTTCTGAAAAAAAGCCAAATATTCTGCCTCATGAGCAGACCAAAATGTTTTGTTGATTGCATTTTTGCGCACTTGCAGTCATGTCAGACTGCATTTTAGCTGTTATTTCTTCAACATAAATGTAAAAAATACATCATTGCCTTTTCAATTAGGTACCTGTAAAGTGAAGACAAATGTTTTTGCTGCTATTTGTAGGGTATTTATTTTAACATAGTGGCAAACCAGAGATTATTTTAGAATCAGTTCAATTTCAATTCCCTCATTTACTCAAGATTTAAACCAATTTCTTCATTTACTAAAGATTTAAACCAATTTGCCACTATGAAATTTATACATAATGAAGTTTTCAATGAATAAAATGTAAGCAAAAATAATGAATGTATACAAATTTATATCTCAACTAAAAATTGAATCGTGCTCTTATGATAGAATTTTTGGGCATCAGACAAACAAAAGTATGGAATAGAATAACAGGTCTGTAGTCTGTACAGTCTACAGTGGTGCCTACTACACTAGTGGGCATCGTTATCAAGATTAAATTTTATATGTTAGGTACTTACTCTTCGAGAAAATCTTGAAAAAGCTTTTGACAGCGATCCCCCACTTCATCTTTGACCTGCGCCTGACCAGTTTGGAGTTCAGCAACATCCATCTTTTCTTTAATTTAAAGGCAATCGATTGCGTCTTACATAAATACACACAACACGCACTTCACCGTAGGGCTGATTTTGGCGGGAAAATTTCACTCTTTCATTTAGAGGTTATAACCGCTACATATCAAGAAAAAGTTTCTACCCAAGGAACTTTGTTTTTGAACGCCTAACCCTATAAACCAAATGTTTTTATATATAAATACGTGACAATTCCTGCCGTAGCAGGCATTTAATGTTATTTTTAAAGCTTGTTGTTAGCGATTTGAGGCAAACCAGAAGCCCAGTTGGACACATACAATATATGGATTCATCAAGTCAGCATGTTAGTTCAAAGCCTAAAAATTTTACGGTTTTAATTTAGAAAATTGAAGTACTTATTGGTATGTAATGCGTCCATTAATTTTAATTGCGATACTTGTATATGAACCGAAATGTATAGCATTCATTCTCATAATTATGGAAAGCATATTATTACAGCGAAACCCTTTTTCCCATAGACTTTACATAACGCAACAGCTGTTCATGCGGAACACTGTCAAATGCTTTGGCAAAATCAAGGTACACCGCATCCAATGGCTCCCATTCGCCCAGTTGGCAAATTCAATCGTTCGACGTAGACAGGAGGCTAGTGGCACAGGATCTACTGGCAATAGAGCCATGTTGACATTCTGATAGGAGATGGTTAAAAGTCAAGTAATCGATAATCCTTTCCCACACAACAGATTCCATTACCTTGGAAACAACACTTGTCAGACTCACAGGGCGATAGTTCATGAGGCTACTCTTGTCGCATTTTTTAAAACAATGGTGTCACTTGAGTTTCTCTCCAGTCGAGCAGCAAAGTCTCTTCGTGCAAGGTTTTTGGATGAACACTATCAAAGGTCAGGCCAGGACGGTTGCTAANCCTTGTGAATCAAGTCACGAAAAGTTCAAGAATCGGCAACAGGCCATGGGCCTATTTCTTCAACGCCGACACTTCTATTCTATTCTATATATTCTTCTTATATTTCTTCTTGTTTGTTTGTTCATTTGTATGTGCGTGTTTGAAGCTTGGCACTGCAAATATATAGGGACTAAATGGGTGCGTATCCACGATAGATACAGTGTCGGGATATTACCTGGAAAAATTTTTTTTATAACCTTTTTCAATTCCTATTCATTCAGCAAACAAGGAAATACAGAATTTCACGTAAAACTTAAAAAGTGAGTAATGTTTATTTTTAATAAATGCGTTTTCAATAAACATTTTAGTCAAATTTACGATCTGTAACCACATTTGCATTTCAATGATAGCCACTTTCGGCTTCCTGATTCGGGAATGAGGGAAGGCGCTCTTATAATGATAGCAGAACCTGCGGCACCCTTAGATCAGAGGGCAAGGGAAGGTGCCAGCACACGACACCGTAAAGCGTCCTCATGACCTTATGAAAGCTTAGGACTTTTCAGTCCATGGTCAAGCTGATGCTCCGCCTTCGTTGTCCTCCGTCTCCAAGTCATCGATAGGCAGGTCACCCCGCGCTCGGGTCCCAGATGTAAGGTTGGACGTGCTCCTTTTATTCAACATAACATAACATAGTGATCTCGGCGCTCGGCGCTGAAGTGTAGGCCTGATGTGGCCTGTCACCGATTCTTCTCCTTTTCGTGCGTTGTTCACAGAAGATCTAAATTCGTGTAATTTGACCAGATCTTTTCATGAATGACGATAGTTTGAAGTAGCTACTGGACTTCCACCGGGTTCGATATGGTGCTAGGCATTTCAAATCTGAACATATATTTTTCCATAGCTTTATCTTGTCTGTTCTTGAACGCGTTCATACTAACATCCTACATTCTGGGGACGCAAATAATAAAACATCCTATCATCTGGGAGGCAAGGTTTTATGAAACCCCGTCAATCTAGAATATGTAGCCCAGGATTTTCTATTTTTTGGGGAGCTACTACCAATTTGAGGTACCGCAAATTACTGTGACCCAATGTTTTTATTAATCTTACAAATATTCTGTAATGTTTGTTACATATATTCTTCATATATTTCTTCTTCATATTCTTCTTGTTTGTTTCCTCAACTTTGTGTGCGTGTTTGAAGCTTGGTACTGCAAATATAGAGGGACTAATGGGCGCGTATCCACGACAAATACAGTGTCGGGATAGTACCTGCAAATAAAATTTTATTCGTCCAGCAGAACGAATAAATATCGATGACACCTCAGCAACCAATGCTCTTAAGTTGAATAAAACTATCTAAAATAATCCAGGGCGGCTCCTGTAATGTTTGGGTGAAGCATCGAAATGTAGAAAGTTTTTGAAAGTTTGTAAAGAGTGCTTATTAGTTCTGAAAAATGGTTAAAATTAGTCATATAGCACATAAGAAAATAAAATACTTAAAAAAACTTTTTAAAAAACCACGTTTTTCTTGTGGACTAAAAAGTAGAAAATAAATTAAGGCTCGCCCCAAAAAACGTGTGTCGGG